TGGAAACCAATTTGACAATAAATTTCATATATTAAAAAAAGAAATAAACCATTCCAGTTTTTATTGTGCTTAAATATAATTTTGTTATATTTTTCTTGCTCATATAAGTGAAACAAATAATCATTCAGTATATTAACCAACTAACTAGTTTATGCTTAAATTTAGTTTTGATCTGCTTGTCTTCCTAGAAAAGATCTAAAATTCACATCTCCACTAAAGAGTAAACATATTATTTAACATGTGATATGAATTAAGAATTTTCATCAGAATTACATCCACTGAATTCGGACATTTATAATGTTTACACACTTAAGACTCTCTTGGAATATATATATTTAAAGGCGTAATTATTCTACAGTAATACCATGCTGACTCTGAAATTGCCTGGGGGAAGGGGGTTTTGGTAAGAAGCAGAGCGTTGAAAGTAGAATGGGAGACAATGCTAATTTGTTACCGAGAGCTCCATGGGTTGATGAACCAGCCAAAGTAAACACTGTCACAGAGTTATGACAGCATGTGCTTCCTATCTGATCCCGAGAACTATTCATCTTCATTTCTGCCTCTGACATTGTGAATGCCCCTGACATTACTGCCTTTCTCTCCAACAGATATTATATCCAAACCCAGGAGGCAGACAAAACATACTTGTTATGGCTTCACCGGGCAATGAAAAGGCGTGAAAGTGAAGGCATGTCCTTTACCTTAGATACGTGTTGGCTAAATGGAGTGTGTTGTCCCACTGGTTCTTGATATCAGTAAGGGTCTTTGGAGCCAATGGAGCCTTGCTGCTCTCAGCCTGACTCATGATGGTCTGTATTTTAGCGTCCCCTTCAGGCTTTAGTAAAATGATTTCCTGAAGTAAATAAAGATCTTAGAATCTCATTTGCATTACTTAGAAGAAGTACATATGATACCTTTTTATTTATAAGCATTCTATGTAGATTCCAATTGCAGAGTAGATTTCAGAAATACCTTTTCATTTTTTACGTTGCCCAAAAGATAATGATACCTCCTTACATTATACAGAATCGGTTCTCCGTAAGTATTTGTCAGATTGCTCTTGCTGCATTCCTGCTCTCCTCTTGATTTTCAACTGCCTTCAAATAAGTTATATGCCCAAAAGACCCTGGAAAATCCTTCTTTCTATCCACTCAATTATTTAAGGAAACAACCTGAACAAGACATTTTTATACACCCAAAATGAGACTTAGGGCTTCCCACAGGAAAAAGCAGTGCCCCATGTCAACTCTTGTCTCTCCACTACAACATAATTCATTCCCATTACCTGGTCTTCTCTTTCCCTCCTTTGCTCTAACAATCATCTTCCTCCCTTCTTGGAAATACTACTCCAGATTCACCTCCCCTGGAAAATCTTTCACGTACAATCCCAAATGATTCCAATTACTTCAGTAAGCCTTACCAACTCTTACAGCTCACTATTCAGAACCATTTCTTCCTGTAATAATGCTTCGATTGTGATTTCAATCCTTCTGGGTTCCTTTTAAGCACATGGGCTCCTGTCCCCTGCATTTGTAACTACCAAAGCCTATTGAATCTCTCCTTAGATAAAAAGTGGGCTTAGAGGAGCTTGGGAGTTCCTTGCCCTCTGCAACCCCCTCGGCATGTCATAACCTTTATAAACTACGCAATGTACTCGATATCTAATAACCTTTTGAACCATACATATTTGCTCTGAAGAAGAGTTCCTCTCCAGCCCCGCCTTCACATTGCGGATATGTTTGTACTGACATAAATTCTTTTTATATCCTAGCAAACTCCCACCTGCCACAGCTCCATACGTACTGCCCTTAGAAAGAGAGAATACACCTTCTCTCTTCTGTCTGCCTTAAAATAATTTTAGATCCATCACAGCTCTTCTCTCTTGTAAGCTCAGTCATCTGAATGCCCTCAGCCATTCCACAGTAATCCTATTTTCCATTAAGAAACAAATCTTTGCAGTTTTCCTGTAAATATTTTAAAAATTAGAGTTCATTCTGACCTCTGAAATTTAGTTTCCACAGTTATACCTTTATTTTTTGGATTCTTTCCTCAAGCGGCATTTTGCCTTCAGATGAATTCAAAACCATAAGGGACTCTTTAATCCCTGCTATCCAATGAATTACATCATGTGCAAGATCATTAAAGCTCTGGTCCTCTGTAGGAGGTAACTTATCCTCTTCATCAATTTCACATAATTGTCTCAAAAATGTCTGGTATCTATCAATCAAATGTGTTGATTCCATTATTATTTCTTCTTCTTCAGTAAGCCCATATTCCTTCAAAGAATTGTTCAGCTGGGCCATAGATTCAAATTGTTCCCTGAAAATTCCAAACATCATCGAAAGTTTAGAGGAACCACAATACCATGTAAGAAACCATGTTGGCAGAAAATATATTCATACAGGATTAGCTATACCTTTTTCTAGCTACAGCTTCGCAAAATAGCTCAGTTTTCTCTCCTGGTTTTTCCAGTTCTTTCCATTTCTCTTCTTGACTGGTCAACCATGTGCTCAGATTTCTGTGGTCATCCTGGAGACTAACAGAAGATTACATACGTTAGAATATAAAATAAGCAAAAAGTGTTTCTATGAAGAGAAGGTTGGCATGGATTTTGTAAACCAATCAGGCTTTTACTACATTTTTTTTTTATTCTTTGGTGAAGAATTAATTCGCAACATTAAAATCTGAACAACAGTAGCCTGTATTATAGAATTCTATAGGGGCGCCTGGGTGGCTCAGTCGGTTGAACGTCCGACTTCGGCTCAGGTCATGATCTCATGGTCCATGAGTTCGAGCCCCGCGTCGGGCTCTGTGCTGACAGCTCAGAGCCTGGAGCCTGTTTCGGATTCTGTGTCTCCCTCTCTCTCTGACCCTCCCCCGTTCTTGCTCTGTCTCTGTCTCAAAAATAAATAAATGTTAAAAAAATATATATAGTAGGATTCTATAAAGCAACGAGCTACGCAAACATATCACAAAGAACAGGAAACAAAACATTTTTTGGACTCTCCCCTGAACTACTGCCATATTAGATAATTTGAAGAATTCTCTCAACTTCTATCTTCCTAGGGTCAAACTTAGATTTGAAAACGTATATTTTATTTGTGAAATTTGTGTGTATTGTACATCCCCATGCTAGCTGTACTGATGCACAAAACGTGTAAAGAGATCATTAGAAACATGTTATTTAGCTATCACCTTTACTTCCTACCTTAGTAGCTGTTGCAAGCAGGCATTCAGCTCCTTTGTTCGTGCCTGGCAAATGGACTCCATTTTTTCTAATTCAATTTCTTGATTTATAATCCAACTGTGAAGCTCCTTAACATGTGCTTTGGGCAGATGCTTCTTCACATGACTTAGTACAGTTCCCACCTGCTGTGTTTTACTGCCTCTTCCTTCAAGAGTTAAGAAATCCTTAAGGAAGACAGAAAGTCAGTGATGCTCTACTGGCAAGCTGAAGTGTGGTCTCTACCCCCCCTGTAGCACTTTTCCAAGCTGGTACGTAGACATGTCACCTTTCTAACATCCTATACGAAAGAAAAGCTACGGAGATATGGCTAGCGCCAATGGCAAATGACCAAAAGATAATTTACATTAGTTGTCGAATGTGTGTCTGCATCTGACTTGCTGGATATGACATCAAGCAAAATAATGCTTGTTCATGAAAGTCAGTAGGAGTAAGACTGGGGAAGCTGCATTTTTCTTTCCCGACTCTGCTCAGCTTCTAAATACTTGCTCCCCTCGGGTAATCAACATGTAAAACTACACAGACTATTCTCTATTTAACTCTGTCCAAATAAGAATTTTATTTCAATGTTTGTGTTTCAAGGTTTGAGCATCATTTGTTAAGGCCATGCGACAGACAAAGTTAAAGGCAACAACAACGACAAAAAAGTCAGGACTTAAACTAAAAAAGAAGAAAGGCAATTCTACCAATAAAGAACAGTATCAGCAAAGTAAAGAATCAAACAAGGAATACTTAGTGCCACTCATAAGCTTGAGAGCATGACTCATCATCAAACTACAGTACTAGACAGTCTTCAGTCAGAGAAAGACAAATATCATACGATTTCACTCATATGTGGAATTTAAGACAAAAAACAGACGCACATAAAGGAAGGGAAGGAAAAATAATATAAAAACAGGGAGTTAAACCATAAGAGACTCTTAAATACAGAGAACAAACTGAAGGTTGCTGGAGGGGTGTTGTGTGGGGGGATGGGCTAAATGGGTGGTGGGCCATTAAGGAGGACACTTGTTGGGATGAGCACAGGGTGTTATAAGTTAAGTGATGAATCACTAAATCCTACTCCTGAAATCATTATTATAGCATATGTTAGTTAACTTGGATTTAAATTAAAAGAATAAAAATAAATAAAATCATACAAATAGTGCTTAAAAAACAAAAGGCTAACCCTCCCTAAAAGTACTAGACAATCTAGCCTAAAGTGATGAAGATTTAAGGTGCCATATGCATTTTAAATGCTTGCTTGCACATTACCTTTTATTCCAAGCTGCCCTCCACTACCCTCCGACCAGCTACATGAAAGTCCAAATGAGACTGTTAAAAGAAATGTTACTCAGAAAAAACTTAACAGAAAGTCAAGAGACCTCTCTCAAGAAAGTAAAGAGACTTTGGGGCTCCTGGGTGGCTCAGTTGGTTAAGCGTTCGACTCTTGATTTGGGCTCATGATCTCGCGGTTTGTGAGTTTGAGTGCAGCATTGGGCTTTGAGCTGACAGTGGGAAGCCTACTTGAGAGTCTGAGTCTCTCTCTCTCTCTCCCAACCCCAAAATAAATAAGTAAATACTACAAAAAAAAAAAAAAAAAAAAAAAAAAAAAAAAAAAAAAAAAAAAAAAGGAAAACCAACACTTAAAAAACAAAAGGAAAAGTAAAGGGACATCCAAGTCCACATTAGGCAAAGCCTTTATTTTGTATGAAATATGATTTTACCAAAACCGGATTCACCAGTACACCCTGTTAAACAGCATCTTAGAACAGGTGTGAAAACAGAAATTGCTTAAGTGCCTTGCACCCTGACCCCGTAAATATGGAGTTTCAAAAATTTGGGAAAAAGTCGGTTATTTGGAAACATTATCTCTATGTAGAGAAATGAGCAAGTCAAAGTAATTATTATTTTATCTAGTTAAATACAGTTCTATGCCTCTAGTATGTTAGCTTTGATAAATTTTGATTAAAATTTACATATATCTTACAGAAAGTTTTTGCAGCTTTTGCTCCACACTCTTTTTTGTTTCTGATGATTCAAAACACTCCTTAAGGTTCATTTTAATGTTGCCAAACCAGTCATTAAAGTTCTTGCACTGATCTGTAGGAAAAAACAAAAGAAGCTATATCCATTCAAGGAAGACTTTAGACCCCTTGTTAAAGTGAGAGGCTTTGAAACTCGCTTCACATAACGTGGGTACAACAAGTCATTGTGTAAGGTGGTAATAAGTTGAAGCCCAATTTTGAGGTTAATAGATTTCTCAAAAGTAATTATGGTATATTTTCTATACCCGACCTCCTTTCCAAGCACACAGTACCCCCACAGACACTCGTAGGGACAGCATGCTCACAGGCACATCACCAGACTCACTCACCACAGTGAGTGAGCAGGTCGAATGTGAGGATGTTGGTGACCTTCCTTCATGAAATAAAGATTTGGGACTTGAAAGAAATAGATGTCATATGATAGGCGTATAGATCAGTGAGTGCTTCCCCCAAAAGATTTATGTGAGTAAATCCTAAATAAATAAGTACATAAATAAATCCTTTTCCTTAAATAGAATCTCTGCAACCATCTCTCAGTGAAGTTTAGATAAGCCTTCATGTTCGCAATATTTATTCATACTTCAAGATTCCCAGAAAAAACAGTAATGCGCTCACCATTCAATAACTCACTATTCAATAACTTACCATTCAATAACTTAGAAAAGTGATCTTGCAAAACACTTTTTTTGGTATTAAATAAATCACTGACACTTTCATATTGCTTTTTTAATTCAGAGAGTTCAGGAGTCAGACAACCTATTTGATTCTCCAGTAACATCATACTGTGCTTTTGCTGTAGGATTTGCTGTTGTATCTCCTAAATACATAAACAAACAACCATTAAATCTCAAAATGCGTTCAATTTATACATAGTAGAATAGATCTCCATTGTTTTTGTAAAACTCTAGATGATTATTCTATTGAGTGGATTCGCTTTATCTTAGCCGGTAAATGTATACTGCAACACAAATTAACATCAAATAATTACTGCCCTCAAAGCAATTCAACTAAATAAACACAAATCGTTTTTCTGAGGTTTTTCCCCCAACTTTCATTTTTTTGAATAGTTACTACTTTTCATTAACTTCAAGAGGCCAAAGTCATCAGAAATAAGCGTGAAAATAAATCTGAACCACAGAAGACAAGCAGCTGGGACATACCTCTAGTTTAGTAAAGATCTCTAAGCTGTCAGAAGGAGACAGGGCTTTTAACAGGGACTCAGTCATTCCGATCTGAGTCTTGGCTTGGTCGAGATCCTCCCTTAGCTCAGCTGTATGGCCACTGAGCGCAGAGCAGGTGGATTCTCCTGTTAAATGCATTTTTACATTTTCTATCTTGTTTAAAACAGAGGACTCCATGACCTGAAATCATGATATATATGAAGTCAAATTAACAAATTTATTTCACTAGATTTTAAGACAACTGCATTGCTAGAGAATGAGTTGAGATGTTGAATTAATTCCTCATTGTTCTACATCACTGATACAATTTAAATTGTTTCAAAAAGAATAACATGAAAAACTGAGATTGACATTCTGTCTTTGTTCTAAAAAACTAATTTGTGCGCTGGGTGGGGGGGGGGG